TGGTTAGAGCGTCTGCCTGCGGACAGAAGGGTCCTGGGTTCGATTCCGGTCAAGGGCATGTACCTTGGTTGTGGGCACATCTCCAGTGGGAGGTGTGCAGGAGGCAGCTGATTGATTTTTCTCTCTCATTGATGTTCTGACTCTCTATCGCTCTCCCTTCCTCTCTGTAAAAAATATATATATTTTTTAAAATAAAATAAAAGAGGTAGTGATTTATGTGTGGGCGAGTTATATTTTTGTTTTTTAGGAAAAAGTCTAGAAAATGTTTTTCCTAGGAACAGTGTGCTAAAGATTTAGTTATTAATTAAGAACATATATTTCAGGAAGGGAAATCTTATACTAAAAATCTTTTTAAAATGTGGCTGGTAGTCCCAATGGAATGTTTACATGTTTTGTGAGCATTTGATGGGGCCTGGAGGATGATCATTGTCCTTGTCTCAAACTTGTTTTTAATTGATGTTTGAATGGTGCTCTTTAGATTACTTGACAAAGAAACTCAGATGGCATGTTTGCTTATTTGTGACACTGTGTTACGAGTTAAGTACTACAGAGAAAACCAAGTCAGTTTAATTCCTCTCTCTAGGATCTTACAGCTATCTAAATAAAGTCATCAAACATTTTTATAACATTTTTACATATTTTAAAATATGTGTTTATTGATTTCAGAGAGAGGAAGTGAGAGGGAGAAAGAAATAGAAACATCAATGATGAGAATCATTGATTGGCTGCCTCCTGCATGCCCCTTATTGGGGATGGAGCCCTCAACCCAGACATGTGACCTGACTGGAAATCAAACTGTGATCTTCTGGTTCATTGCTCAACGCTCAAACTGGATGGACCATTTTTACATATTTTTAATGGAACAGTTCTTTAAATTAAATAGGATCAGTGGAAATAGGCTTGTTATATGGAAGAATTGATTCAGATATATTGAGATTTATGAGCTATTTAAGATTATATAGTACTAGAGGGCCAGTGCACGGATTCATAAACCAATAGGGTCCAGTCCCTCAGGCTGGCCTGCACCCTCATGCAATTTGGGACCCCTCAGGGGATGTCGGAGAGCCAGTTTTGGTCAGATCCCCACAGGCCAGGCCAAGAGATCCCATTGGTGCATAATCGGAGCTGAGAAGGGACCGCAGGAGGTATCCAGGATGTGTCCAGCCCTTCTCACGCAGTCCTGATCAGTCAGACCCCAGCAGCAAGCTAACCTACTGGTCGGTGTATCTATCCCTTGATGGTCAGTGTGCATCATAGTGACTGGTTAAATGGCCAAACAGTCAGACACTTCACATATTAGGCTTTTATTGTATAGGATACTAGATGCCCAGTGCATGAAATTTGTGCATTGGAGAAGGGGGGGCCCTCAGCTCGACCTTTGCCCTCTCACAATCTGGGACCCCTTGGAGGATGTCCACCTGCCTGCTGGGCCTGCTCCCTGCAGTGTTTGGGTCTAAGCTGGCAGTTGGACATCCCTCTCGCAGTCCGAGCCCCCTCGCTCCTTACTGCCTGCTCACTGCTTCTTACTGCTTGACTCGCTGCTCCTTAGCGCTGCTGCGGAGCTGGGAGAGGCTCCGCCACAGCCTCAGTGCTTGCCAGCCATGAACCTGTCTTCTGGCTGAGTGGAGCTCCCCCTGTGGGAACACACTGACTACCAGGGGAAAGCTCCTGTGTGAGTGTCTGGCCCCTGGTGTTCAGTGTACATCATAGCGACCAGTTGTTCTGGTCATTCCGCCATAATGGTCGCTTAGGCTTTCATTCTATAGAGTAGAGGCCTGGTGCGTGAAATTCATGCATGGGGGTGGTGTCCATCCACTCGCCCTGCACCCTCTCCAATCTGGGTCATCCAACTCACAATCTGGGACTGCTGGCTCCTAACTGCTCACCTGCCTGCCTGCCTGATTGCCCCTAACTACTTCTGCCTGCCAGCCAGATCGCTCCCTAACTGCTCCCTTGCCAGCCTGATTGACACCTAACTGCTCCCCTGCTGGTCAGATTGCCCCCAACTGCCCACTCCTGCAGGCCTGCTCTCACCCCTAACTGCCCTCCCCTGCTGGCCCGGTTGCCCCCAACTGCCTTCACCTGGAGACCCAGTTGCCCCTAACTGCCCTCCCCTGCAGGCCTGGACCCCCACAACTGTCCTCCCCTGCAGGCCTGGCCACCCCCCAAATGTCCTCCCCTGCTGGCCTGATTGCCCACAACTGCCCTCCCATGGCGGCCATCTTGTGGTGGCCATCTTGTGACAACGTGAGGGTGGCCTTCTTGCAATGGCCATCTTGTAATGATGTGGGGGCGGCCATTTTTGGTGGCCGTCTTATGACAGTGTGAGGGTGGCCATCTTGTAATTACATGAGGGTGTCGAAAGGGCATGACACCATATAGGCTTTTATTAGTATAGATTAGCAGAGTGGATAAAACCAGAATCCAGAACTCTCGACTCATAGTTCAAGGAGTCAATAACTAAGAGTTCATGCAGCAGTGGTCTAGGACAGATGATGTGAAAATATAGGGACATTGTTTAAACATCCAATCCTCTATGAAGTGCCCATTTTGTGCAAGTCATTGTGTCATTAGTTTTGTTTGATTAAAAAATGAGAAAAGTCATAACTGGTCATGAAACTATATTGTGTATCAGTAATACAAATAACTTTTTAGGGCCAATGCAATAGAAAACTCTCTTTACTCTAATATATAGTTAAGGAGAGAATTTGGAGGAAATAGCCAAATGGGTTTTATTTACATATAAAGAGAATGGCTCTTGGATTAAGGGGCCATAATTTCACTTCAATAAGTTTACTGAGGCAGTAAGGTTGAACAGGGATGGTCTTGGAAACTATAGTTAAGAAGGGATATTAGATTATATAGTTAGCCAGCTGAGACCTTGGAGATTATATAATCCTTGAGTTAATTTTACAGCTAAAGAGACCGAGTCCTAGAGTGATTCTGAGTTACTTGCCCAAGATTAGTCACACAGCTAGAGGGAGTAGAATTGGAATTAGGTCCCTTCCAAATGCCTGGATATGAACAAACACTGAAGTAGATTGGAAAAAGAATCTAGAGGTGGTGAAGTGTGGAAATATCATAGATGTGTGGAGTAGATTTATGTATAAATTTTTACAGAGATGTGATTTCCATTTATTTTTAAAAGAATGGAAAGATAACTTTGACTAGTTTTTGGTTTCTTGGGCATAGCAAATCAAAAATAGATGGATTTTGTGATCCATGGAACAGTTTGAAAAGTAGGATGAGCTGCTTGATGGCAAATATGAGAATGTCCTTCTCAGCAACTTGTAAGACATTTTATTGATAACAATAATAAAGGAAATAGTGGTGATATTATTAACAACAGCTACCATTTATTGAATGTTTACCCTTTGTCCAGGCACCATGTCAATCATCTGATGTGCATCAGTAGTTTATTTAACTATTTCACCCTGTGACCTAATTATTATTATGTCGTTTCGTAGACCAAAAAACTGACTCTGAGTTTCCTGTCCTAGTCACACTGGTAGTTGCCTAAGGAATAAAAAGTTGAATTCTTATTATGTTTGCATTCCAAGGCTGTGTTTCTCTAATTTAAGTAATGAATAGACCCTCCTTCAAAAGGAAAAATAATCTGCTTCATATTCCATATTGACTTATTTATAAGACTATTTAACTTTGCGTAAACAAAAATTCCTTTAAGCTTGTAGCTCATATAATTTTTTAAAACTTAAAAAAAAACCCTACAAATTAAATACAAGCAAAACATACAAAATCAAAAAAATTCAAATTGTTATTAATTTAATGTGAAAGATGAAGTTTTTACTGAAATGAAAATACCGATTGCAAGATGAATTTGTGACCATTGCGCAGTTGTTTTGAGTTTGGCATGCCTGTATTGCCACGTGCTTCATGCTAGCTTGGTTCTGCTGCCATATTTCTCTATTCTGACTTCTGTAATATATCCCTTCAGACAATAGTCTAGTGGCAATTGACTTTCGCTTAGTGCACTCAGATATTTATTGTCAATCCCACTCTGTTTTCATTAGTTATGATGAAGTACTGCCATTTGGTTTGAGGCTCTGCGATGTCATGGCCCTGTACTTAGTTATAAAATGATGGCTATCCTGGTGCTTTAGAATATGCTTGTGTTAATTCTTTTTTGGGTTATCTTCTAGAAGAGAGCACAAAATTTAAGAAATTCAATCTCTGAAGTCATAGCCAGGCCTCTGGTGTTTCCACTTTAAAAAATTGCACTGTACTTTCTCTCCGAGCACTGTCATAGAACCGCCTGACCTCTGTGGGGGATCAGTGCAGACCCAGGAAAACCTGCGTCTTCACCTACTTTCAGTGCTGCTTTGCTTCAGGCCACCACTATTTTGCATCTGAGTTTTTGCTCAGCACGTAGTTTTGTCTCCACCAAATTATTCTCCACACTGTTGAGTTTTCTATAATACAAACTTCTAGAACTGAGCCTCAGAATCACCTCTTTATGGAAACTTTCCTTTATTGTGTCTCCTTATCTCCTGCTTCTCACCCCATCCATTATCACCTTGCCCTTTTTCTCCCCTAGATTGAATTCGTTATTTTTTCCTTCATTCCTCCTTTAGAACTCCATAACACCATTGACATCTCTGTTATAATGCTTAGCACATTGTGTTGCAATCCTTAACTTTTGGGTCTCCCTAAGTAGACTTACCAGCTTCTTGAAAGTACAACTGCCTGTGCATCTTCCATCGAGCATATGGTCTGAATGAGAGGGAGGCTCTCGTGGTAGCTGTGATCTTGAATCACTGGTCAGTCAGTTATAATTTTAGAAGTGAGGAGTCAAAATAGGCAAGAGCAAAGAAGACATTTTCTAATCTTTCCCATTCATGTATGTGAAATTTATACAAATTGCATAAATAGTTAATGTAGTAGACTCTTTAATATGTGAGCAACCTAATTTTGGAAGTAAACTTTCCATAAAGAATTAAACGATAGCATTATTTTGCTGTTCTTTTGTTTCCTCTGATTAGGTGCTGTGATTGTCTCCACGCCCCAGGACATCGCACTGATGGATGCACGCAAGGGTGCTGAGATGTTTCGAAAAGTTCACGTGCCCGTAAGTATTTATGCTTCACTCTTGCAGAAATACAAGACACTTCTAACTGAAGAAGCAAGTCACTGAGAATACAACACAAGTTTTAATTTAGTTTTGTGCAGAAGTTTATATGAAAACCCTACTTCATCTTTATGATTACTTTATTTAAAATATACATATATATTTTATTGACTTCAGAGAGGGAGGGGAAGGGAGAGAGAAATAGAAACATCAATGATGATAGAGAATCATTGATTGGCTGCCTCCTGCACGCCCCACACTGGGGATCAAGCCCACAACCCAGGCCTGTGCCCTGACCAGGGCTTTATGGTTACTTTAAAACAGACATACAGGTGCAAACATATATACACACGTTATGTTAATCAAGGAGACTTCGAAATGTCCTTTCATTATGAGTTTTCTGAAGAAGTATTACAGGGAAGCTCACTGATACCTTTCCCCTCCAAAAATAGAGAATATTTTAGGAAATTATTTAGGTAGATACACTTGAATAGATAATCAGTAGGAATGCAGGTGGAAACAATGTCTTTTTTCCTTCTGTCTCCTATAATTTAACTCATTTATAGCTCACAGTCTTCTAAAAGGTATCAAAGGATACCTATACAACATGGCAAACTAGAACAACCAAAAACTAATGAAAATAAGGGAAAGGACAATTAAAATCAAGTGGAGTTAGAAGTGGGATTTAAATACTTTCTAGAAATACATAATTAATTTTTTATTTTATTTTATTTTTTTAATATATTTTATTGATTTTTTAAAAATATATTTTACTGATTTTTTACAGAGAGGAAGAGAGAGGGATAGAGAGCTAGAAACATCGAAGAGAGAGAATCATCGATCAGCTGCCTCTTGTACACCCCCTACTGGGGATGTGCCCGCAACCAAGGTACATGCCCTTGACCGGAATTGAACCTGGGACCTTTCAGTCCGCAGGCCGACGCTCTATCCACTGAGCCAAACCGGTTTTGGCTATTTTATTGATTTTTTACAGAGAGGAAAAGAGAGGGATAGAGAGTTGGAAACATCTATGAGAGAGAATCACTGATCAGCTGCCTCCTGCACACCCCCACCGGGGATGTGCCTGTGACCAAAGTACATGCCCTTGACCGGAATCGCACCTGGGACCCTTCAGTCCACAGGCCGACACTCTATCCACTGAGCCAAACTGGTTCTGGCACATCATTAATTTTTGAGCAGCCACAGGGAAAGATACATAAGGCTGTTATAAAAATGTTTTTACACGAAGTTAAAAAGAGCTTGATGCTCAAGAGTAGTAGCAAAGCTGAGACTGGAGAGGTGGTAGTCTCCCCGAGATTCTCAGAAAACAGAAGCCCCATGTATATAGGCACAAACCTGTTCCTTCCTCCTGTGTGCCTCCACCAAAGCAGGTGGACTTCTCAAGTGCCCGCTGGAGTGGGCATTTCAGCGCAGAGCAGTGTGATGCCTCCATCCATGCGGAGCTCTAGCTCCCGCACTTCAGGGAGAGGTCTTAGGGTTTACAGAGCGGCGCTTCTTAGACTTCAGCCCACGCATTAACTTCAGGGGTCTCGTGATTCTCTCCCTCCCTCTCCTATCTCCCAAAATAGTATTCTTACTTTGTGTTTGTTTGGTATGGAGAGAATTCATAACTTTTGTTAAATTATTCAATGAGACTATGATATGGCACAAGACCCAGTGATGTAGTATAATAGAATGAAGAGACTCTCAGGGAAGCTTTCAAAAATGATTTTCTCTCAGGAGAGCTTCTGAAAAGTACAAAATAGTAGAGTAGTGGAGTTGAGATGATCCTCTTCAAGGAGTACCTCTTCTCGCTTGCCAATTAGCACACAGCTGTGTGTGTTAACAAGCCCTGAGCTCTGGATTGTATCCGCATGCTCTTATGAAAACTGAGGAGCCTCATAAGGATGGTGCCGCATGCTTCCCTTCCAGGTGACCTGAGGGTGTTCTCACCAGCAGGAGTACAATTGTGATCCGAAAGTATTTTAGAGATAGCTTTTATATGTGGATAAACCAATGATAAAGCCCCAACATGAATTGTATCTTACAAACATTGTAAAGTAATGATAACCTAATGCGCACATCAGACAGAAAACTGTCTCAGTGAAGCACTTAGTTTAAGCAATGTGGCTTTCTGTTATGCCCTCCAAGATAGACTGATGCAAGGAATGCCTACCCAGAGAGTTAAATAAAGTTATTTATATGGGATTTTAAAATACAAATCAGCAAAGAGTTAGGGAATTGGCTATCTACCAAAGATTATGAGACTAAGTAATCCATAATCCTTCTTTCTGGCAGAAATTAAATAACAGGACCAGTGGTCTGTTAGTGCCACTTCAAGGTCAGAATAACAGCTGTGCTATCAGCATATGAGGGAATGCTTAACTTCTCATTCTTTTAAATTAAGGGTGGAGGCTTAGTATAACTCAAAAGTATCAGGAAATCCTCAAGGGAAAAGTTTTCAAAAGAGCAGAAGCAAGAGCTTTTGTTATTCCCCATCTCCAATGAATTCTCATTATGTATAGCAAGAGACCATTGCAACTCATGCTGTCACTTGAAGCAACTGTGGCTATGGGGCAGGCCCTCATGCGCTTTGCTAATTAGGTGTCTAATGACCATCACTGCTAAATTCTTTCAGTTCCTATGTTATTTTCACTTACCTGCAGCATTTGACACTTACTGCCCTATAAGTAAAGAGGTAAATAACCTCATAATTGTTCGGACAGATTCTAGGCTGTAGGACAGATTCTTCATTAGGTGGACAGAGAATCCTTATGGAACATAACAGTGAAAAGCAAATGAATGATCACTAAGTCCAGGTTAGGTTACTACTAAGTGAGTGCCTCGGAGGATAAAACTTGAGGATATCAGCAAGGAAGTATCCTGAGGAAGTATTCCAAGGGAAGGATACTAGGCTGCATGAGGCTCATAGGACCAGTGGTGGATTTGTTAGGGACTGAAAGAGTTGTTTATGATCAGAAAGTTAATGTTGGAGTTGGAGATTGCAGAGTAGGGACAGTTCTGGATCAGGAGAAGGTTCATGTGGTTGGTCATGGACATGCGGGGCTGAAGTGGAGTGGAATGAAAATCATTAGAAATGCATAATCCTCCAAGTTGGCTTTTTTTGACATTGTCCTGTATCTTTATTGTACAGTTTTTTTTTCACCCCTTCGTTTTAATTGTTTGCCCTCTAAACAGCAAAAATCCTATCTAATAAAGAGGCAATATGCAAATTGACCATCGCTCCAACACACAAGATGGTCGCCCCCATATGGACACAAGATGGCCACCACAAGATGGCCAGCAAGGGAGGGCAGTTGTGGGCAATCAGGCCATCAGGGGAGGGCAGTTAGGAGGGACCAGGCCTGCAAAGGAGGGCAGTTGGGAGCAACCAGGACTTCAGGGGATGGCAGTTGGGGGAAACCAGGCCTGCAGAGGGGGGCAGTTGGTGGGGGGACAGGCCTGCAAGGGTGAACAGTTGAGGGAATTAAGCCTTTAGGGGAAGGCAGTTGGGGGAAACCAGGCCTACAGGGGAGGGTAGTTGGGGAAAACCAGGCCTGCAGGGGAGGGTAGTTTGGAGTTACCAGGCTGCAGGGGAGGGCAGTTAGAGGCAGTTAGGGGTGACTGGGCCAGCAGGGGAGGGCATTTAGGGGTGACCAGGCTGACAGGGGAGGGCAGTTAGGGGCAATCAGGCAGGCAGGCAGGCAAGCAATTGGGAGCAGCAGTCCTGGATTGTGAGAGGATGCAGGCTGGACTGAGGGACACCCCCTACCGCCCATGCATGAATTTCATGCACTGGGCCTCTAGTTTTAAAATAATGTAGACTATCTAATCATCTCCTAAACTAACAAAATATAATAGGTGCTCAATAATCTTTGCAATTGAGAGAACTTTTCAGTAGTGAACTCTGTAAGCAGTTGGACAAACATAAAGCACCACATTTTATAGGAAATCCCAGCTATGAATGGGATGTGGAATCTTCTGGCACTTATCAGCCTTGGAGTCTAAGTAATGGTAAAGCATTTGAAATTAGAGAGTGTTCTCTAAGTGCAAAAGAGAAATGTTTTGTTTTGTTTATACCATTTTATTCTATTTTTCCTGGTTTTTAGTTTCACTCTCTATTTTTTTTCTCCTTTTGAAGTGCATTAGTTACCATGGAAACAATTGTATCATTGGAATTCATTGGTATGGACAGAGTTTAGCAATGTCTACAAGAACACTTTGAAGTTAATTTAAATGATTTCTTAAAACTCAAAGTCAGATAGAGGAAGGAGGGGAAGAGATGAACTATTAAATTCTCTTTTCTCTGCCTGAATGATATCAACTCTGCCAAATCCTTGATTATCTCAGTAATATAGACAGACTATTTTTTTAATAATAAAAATTTTCAATCTTATACATTTTTAATTGTGAGTACTTTAAGTGTTGTGTTATTCTCACGCATTTCTCTTGCCTTCTTTCACAAGGGAGACCCAGGCTCCTCAGTCTGAAGCCTTTCCCCACCATTTGAGCTTTTAGAGTCAAAAGGATTTCACTGACCAGAAGGATTTTACCTTCCTTCATAGGTAATCTTCTTCCCAGCTCTTGCAAAGTATATTAAAGTATATTCCCTCTCTTATTCCATCTATATGTAAGGGATCACTTGGTTAATTTTAATTCAGTAGATAGTTACCTACTCTTCAAATTCATATGTATTGACCCTGAGTGCCCTCTCTAAGCAGAGCACTGGGATAAGCTCCATTAGTGATTATTTATTTATTATTATTATTTTTAATGAGAAGAATGAGGCCTTTTCCTTTAAGCAGTTTATCATTCTGTAGACCAACTTCATCATGGTGCAGAGACCTAAATTCTGAGGAACAAGAGGATGCTTCTCTGGGCTACCAAGGAGCTCTTTCATGGGAAAGTCATGATGTTTTTTCACATCCCTGTAATTTTCCACATGCTGGTCCCTTGCCTGATAAGCCATTGTCAGCCTGGGACCTTATACTCATTTTGCA